ATGTGTTGTTTTATTCATGTTTGTTTAGAATAAAGAGCATTTTAAGCAGAATCAGCTACCAATAACGTAAAGCAACGATTTATTATTAGTTAAATAAGAAGGAACAATTTAGGTAAATAATCTAGTCGGATTTTAAATTGACTCAATTTTATAATACCATACTATAATATACAATAATACAATATAAGTAAATATTATATAACAATTTTAATTACTGCATTTACATACCTTGTAAAATTAATTAATGAAGTCATAATATTTGAAAACTTTTAAAAACTTTTACAAAATATTAGGTTATCAATGTTTTGATAAAGAATTTGACAGGAGACAGAAACGGAGAGAAATTTTTAACCCTTTTCCAAACCAGGTATTTTGTGCGCTTGTGCGAACTTAAAATCCCAAACAAAAACCTAGAGGGGCTAGAACGTAACCCGGACACGTTCAGGATCTTTTTTCTGTACAGCGCGAACACCGAATTTTACGTCCGGGTGATGTTCAGACAGAGGGAAACATTCGACCTCCGCGAACGCTCAATTTTGTAATGCGCAGGCGTTATCCCTCCGAACTAGTTCAGGATCTTCTCCGCGAATACAGCTATTTTTTCAATTTATAAATGGACGTAGTGGAATTTTTGCGCATGAGTAAAGACAAGAATTGGTGACCCACAACATTCAATATAACCTATAAATTATACAATTATAGGAATCAGAATTCATAATAAACAAAGGGTGTGTGTTTATACTATTGTTTATTATAATATTTTTTTTATCCTTTTTGCGTGTTAGAATGGATTGTGAAATATACGAAGGTATGCTCCTTGGCGCTGTAGGATTTCTGCTGTGCTGTGTGCAGTAGCATTGCAAAAAACTAGAAGGACAATAATAAGGCGACCAAGACGTTATAAAACAAGACCAATAAACCGTAATAGAAAAATAGAGAATGCTTATAATTATTTTTTAAAGATGAAGACAGAAGATCCAGATCAATTTTTGGCATATTTCAATATTGGTGCAATGAACATAACCCATTCTTTCTTTTGATTGGTCAGACGTAAGAAACGCACTGTAAAAGTTGAAAGTTGACCAACTCTTCCGTTACAGTGCGTTTCGCTTACGTCCCGTCTTGCGTTTACGTTCGAAAAGAAAAGTCTATGTTGATCTTTTTCCAGTGCGTCTGCGTCTACAGTCCGTCAAACTATAAATCCAATCATAGAACTGATATTAATTAATATTATTAATTTATTGATATTAATTAAGGGAGCTTTACATCTAGGCTATGCAAGTCTCATGCTATGCAAGTCCGTCTTGCATGGCACATCTCTTGCCTAGCTTACTAGCTTGACCTTTTTACATCAGAGATATTTCTGTGCAATTTTAGATCCCACTTTCATTGTTGCCAACAGAGAAAATATTTATCAATTTGAGGTTATTTTATTTTAAGTAAAAAATATAATTAAGTAATAAAATAAATAATATAATAAATAAATATACACTATTTATGGTTATTAAAAGGGTAAAGGATGTCAACCAAAGAAAAGAAAACATTGTTATTGTTGAATATTGCTGTTGTAGTAACAATCATCCATAGTCAACGACTCACCCAGTCGTTTTTACATTAACTTTAGACATAGTATATATATTTATCATCACTTAATAAACTTAATTTAAATCAAAACACAACAATACACATGTGGGTTAAGGGACGCTAAAGATAGAGATAAGGTTATGTTTTATTCTGTAATCTATTATAAATTGTTATGTTGGCAACATGAATTTTAACGATAAATTGCAAGAAAATTGCATGAAAAATAGAACATAATATTCTAATTTTTCGTCTAGCACAGGAATTGCATGGAAATAGCCCGTGGGCATGCGCAGTTCCATGATCTGTCTGTCTTGCATGGCTCTTGCCTAGCATGAAAATAGCATAATGTAAAACTGTCTTTAAAGATATTAACAAGTAATATTTTTAGATTATAATTATAGATTGTAAGTCAATTTATATCAAATATTTAATATATATGAAAATATATATAATAATAAATGAATTAAAATAGTAGTAGGTCAATTTTCTTCAAGTGAATCCAAAACGTCCGTTGATTCTGAATATGCCAAACAACGCAATTGATGCAATTCCAAAAGTTAAAATAAACATCACAACAAGTAGACGTTTATAAATTACAGGTTTTTCATAAACATGTCGGACTTGAGGAAAGGCAGGTACTACAATTTCATTGGGATTACTCTGTGTATGGATTTGACGTTGCTGGATAGTTAATTTAAACATTTGTGAACTTTCAGGCTCATTCGTCATCCTAATTACTTACACAAATATATTGACTCGTAGTTCAGATTTGAAAGCACAGCAATATGCCACATTATGTTTATGTTTGAAAGTTGCTATCAAAAACTGACAGTGTGCAATTGGCCCAAGATCCTACTGCAGGCTGCAGGATAACTACTTTCATAACGTAGTAATTCGAACTCACATTTGTACATACATTTAAAATACTAATACCTTCAAAACAAATAATTTTATTAGTTTTAACTTAAAATTCTATTATAAAAATATACTGCAATTGCCGTTAAACAAGAGGCACCGAAAAATATAGAAAAAGAAGAATACTGACAACAACTATCTTCATACTGGAATCACATTTTTTTTTATTATTCGTTGACTGTTGACTTGACTGGAATCTCTCTGACTGAATCTGAAATATACCAGCAATTACCCTGATTGGCCTGATTACTGTTTTTTACTCGTTTACTGTACCAGAAATCTGATCTACGACGCCGCCGGTACAACGTGTTCTGTGATTTTATTTAACTGAAACTCAAAATGAAGGTTTTTCTTTCTATTAAAAATAGTTAAACGAGTAAGGCGCAACAAGTGATGTATATTAAAACATTTCGTTTTTGTTAACTTTGTTGAAAAGTTTTTATATATAGTAAGAAGTAGTTGATTAATTTAAGTAAGTAATATCATTTTTATGTAAAACACATAAATATTGTTTACCTTATAATTTAGGTCACCCTGAATGCATTGCACTTTATTAAAGCATTTTAGTGGTAGCTATTAAGAATTTGCCTTTTTGAGTGTCCAAAGAATATACATAGAAGCTTCTGATGTAACACTGTCTCTAACCGATCTTACAGACAGTGTTATCATTTAATTATTTATTTATAAATAATCCTTAGTTCTTGTTAGAGGTTAATTTAAGTTGTAGATTACCAGTAAATCTCTGATGTAAAATGTAACCAACTGAAACTATTTTTCACCTAGCTGTCATAGTATTGGCATTGGTCAGCACTGTGTTTAAGAGCAAAGACATTGATATTGATAGATGATCAAACTAATCAAATACAATAAAATTAGTTTCATTGGATTCATATTTCATTGTTTTTGATGACAAGGTATGTTAATTTGATCAACATGTCTATACCTTCCCACTCTACTCATCAGAAAGCAATGTATAAGTATAATAAAGTATAAGCAAGTATAAGGGTACTTAACACTTTGACTGCCATGAGAAGCATGCCGTGATGCACGGTCAATTTGATTCTGTTGCCGCGAGAATCAGCTTTTGATTTTCGCTTGTATGTTATTTATATGGGATAGAAATATGTCCGGCTGGAAGGGCCCTCTTTTTTCACTATGGCGGCAGTCTAAGTGTTAAATGTTGAATTGTCATTTGCAATGTAGTGCAAACTCGCCAACAGAGGCGGAAGGTGATTGGTATAAACAACCAGTTAAAAAATATTAGGATTTATTTTTTATTTTAACCCTTTTTGACCAAATCTGATGCTCTACCAAAAATGTCTTGTAACTGAAAAATTAATATTATCTTTAATAAAAATTATAACACCCCCAGTATTTTGACTTGCAGAATCACACCCCACAATATAATATCAATCAATGTTAATTTTGGAATCATCAATATCTTTTTGTGTATTTTTTGGAGAATAAAATAAAAGCCCTTATTTGATCTGAACCATTTTAGGCAATGGACTTTGTACATTTAGTTAGATAAAGGATGTCTGTTCTAAATAGCTGTTCCACTGATTCTTTTAGGATGAAATATGTATAAGCTGATATACAGACTCACTGTACGTGAAATCAAGTCTTAACTGTCTTTGTTTTTATCTCTGTATACTCTTTATGAATACTAGAAACCAAATCGCTAAGGATTTTTGCTTAGTTGAGGAGATATGTTGTGGAATGGAATTTTAGATTCTCCATGTCTCTAATTACATCTTTATCAACGCCTGTTTTGCCTTGCAATTCTTAGAAGGCACAGATTAAAGCAGAAATCTGAATTTGGTTTCGACAATTAGTTTCCAAGTTTAGTTTAGTTTCCAGTCATAGATAAAACTAGAGTGTGTGCCAGTGTGGTACACATGGGGCTTAAAGTGTTAATGATTATTAATGTTTTCTGATTTTGTTATTCTATTATTTTCATTGACATTAAAAATTATTATAATAGAAGCTCTAGCTTTTCTATCCATTATTTCCAAAATTTTATTCTCCATACTGGAATTACTATTATTATTGACCTCGTTAATTAATTGCCACTACTTAGGATGTTCCAGTATATCAGGTGAATTCTGCAACACATCAGATCCTACAGATCATGTAGAAAGTTTCATAAATTATTGGTAATTACAATATAATAATTATAGTACCTATAATTATTAATAACTTGTAGTACTAATATGATTTTGACAATAAACTGAGTAAAAAACAGAAATGGCACACCTAGTGATTTTCAAAGGTTTAACCACACTTTAATAAAAATTTTATTGATTGACTAGCATGAAATATGACACTCAGACTAATTTAAAGGCATAGTCTGCAAGGAAAATGTCTACACCACATATTTACACACCAATAGACTTTAGAATCCTAACTGGTGTTACCCTAAAATTTGCAAAATTACATGGAATTCACTAAAATTGAAGTTATATGTGATAACACTCATTTTTTTCTCTATTTTTCAGATTATGGATACGGTTAAAACTATGGTAAGAAGTGTACTGACTTCTAGTCCAGCATCATTATCAGTTGATCGGTTATGTAAAGAATATAGGGATATTTTAGGTGAAAATATTCCTTTTCAGAAATTAGGTTATAATTCAGTGGAACATTTTTTAAGGGATATTCCAGACACTGTACAGGTAAGTAGCTTTAATAAAAAACCTAATAGCTAATGAACTCAACTAAAACTTAATGATAACCCTTTATAAATAAAAACCTGAAGAAAACTACTGCTTTATAAATTTTCCCATAAATTGTTAACAGACTTACTACATCTGTATAAGACTTGATCCATCTCATGTAAAATATTTCAGCATGTGTACTATTATTTATGTCTTATTGGTGAACATATTTAGGAAGCAAGAAATATGTGGCAAGTCTCAAAGTTTAGACCATCAATCGTTGGGAAATTTCATACAAGAATCCTTTTTGTAACAAAAAGAAAATAATATGGCGACATAATTATCTACACACAATTAGAGAATATCATGCAGCAAAAGAAGATTTGTTTACCTTGACTTAAGATTATTCCTGGTTTCATAATGGTGTACATTCTTATGTCTGTGATGACGATCTATATGTTGTTTTACATGAATAATACTCTCTAGAATAAATAGTGAAGGTATGTTAGTATATGCAATTCAACAAATGCTTGCAGTTATTATTTCCGGCTTCAGCAGTGTGACCCCATGCCAAAATTACCTAGCTGATATCTGAATGACAGTGCAAAATATTCCTATTTTAGAGTGAATTGAGACACACATTCAGAAAGTCGTCCTCAGAAAAGTTACAGGTCCTAATTTATCAACAAGGGACCTTAAATGAGCTTTCCAACACAATCCTTCATCCAAGTCTCTCTCTTCAATCCTGACCCTCTGGAGGGAGTGTAGTGCTTCAAAGATCTCTGCCTCTGGTCATTTCTTTTTACTCATGCATATGTCTTATGCATCTGTTTATGATTTGATAGATCCATCTTGTTGGAGATCTTCCTTGTGATGCCTTCTACCTTTCCTTGGATAATAAGTCTTTCCATGTTTTCTATATCTCTCATAATTATCCTCGTGCATCCAAGTAAACCCCCAAAAATTTTATTTGTTTGTCTGCATCCCGGGAAGGAAGCTGCTTTGTTGAAAAATCTAAGTTTGGGTTTTATTAAGGTTTAGAAGCAATTTATTTGCTGCAAACACCTGCAAAGAGCCTCTTGAATCTTCATAACTAGGTCCATGATGACCTAGTTATAGTTATATAAAACCAAACTGACTACTTGCAAACAAATTTTTGGATTCAAAATACTTAACAATCATTGCTGCCATATACCTTTTATAAATATGCCATATTTCTCAAATACCTTTGGGATAAGAGGGGGGTAGATTGGCCGTGAACTCACCACGCTGGCCAGACAGGTTGGTAAGTGTGTTTCAGCCGCCCACTCTGGGAACAGACGCTGTTTGCAGCCGCCCACTCTGGGTCAGACGCTGCTGTTGTCGCAGTATCACAGCCGCTTAACTCATAATGTGAGTAACAACTGTGAGTATCTGGAATTAAGCCTACAGAATTTTTACTTCCCATAGCCTTAATCCAGTAATGACATTACTGCTGCCTAATGTCATATCCTCAGTTGATCCACGGGTACTTATTTGGCAATGCCTTATTCGTACCTGTCCTGCATATCTGCAGGAACTTTCCCTATCAGCCATATGGGACATGCCGTGTCGAGGTTGAGGACATCTCCCGCCCAGTCTGTCTTTCGTGAAGTACAGAAGAACCCCTACTCAGTTCAGAGCTCCTCCTTCACGAAAGCTATGACTGACACGGATACAAGCAGCAAAACTGAAATGGAAATGGGCTGGGCACAATGAACGTCTCCAAGACGGACGATGGAACAATGCCATCGGAAAGTGGCGTCCATACAATGCAAAGAGATCAAGAGGCAGGCCACAGATGAGGTGGAAAGATGACATCAGGAAACAAGGAGGTCCCACATGGCAGAGAACAGCTCAAGATAGGGAAAGATGGAGAGAACAGTCTAAGGTCAAAGCACGCGGTAAAGATCGGCTATAAAAATGTATATTTGAGACATGTATACTTACAATTAATAACTAATTCAATGTTAATTGTTGTTAACTTAGTTTTGTGCTAGTAATTTTAGTGAAATACCTGTGAAAATAGTAAAATTCGCCCTGATATTTGAGTTTATTGAGGATCCAATAATCTACAGCGTTGCCAGTTATTCGCTCCGTTGTTTTCTTTATAGTGATGGAGGAGCTATAAAGTGCGGTTTTTGTGATCAGACTTGTTATTTTAAAGAGAGTAAAACTCTGTTGTTTGGATGTGCTTGTGATAACTGCGAGAAAGTATCATGTAAGGAGTGTAGCAAGATTTCCTCTCAAGAAATAAGATGTGCAATTGCTAAAACCAGAACCATTATAATATGGTGCAAAGATTGCATAAATCAGTTCTCTAATATTGATAGCCCGATTAGGAACCCAAGAAATGCTGAACTAACCATGCCACAATTATCAAATGCCATAAAAGAAATGGTAAAATGTGAACTTAGTGAGGGTATGAAGATTTTGGAACAGAATCTTCAAGAAAAGCTTGTAATGACGTCTAAAATGGTGATCGACAGCAACAAGGAGTTAGTGAAACTTTTGAGTGATACTTCGAAACTAAATCAAGTGAAACTTTTGAGTGATACTTCGAAACTAAATCAGAGCTCTTCAGAAAGCCGGGTAAACGTGGCAACGCCAACCTCCCCTCCTTTAATAACAGAGAACAATGGCAGATCGAAATCAGCTGGCCAAGCAGAGAATGTCAACGTTGCTAGCTCTTCTTCTTCTAATTCCCACTTGCCAAAAGACCAGAAGACCTTGGTCCACAGCGAAAATCTAGAAAAAGAAGAAAATATAACCTCAGCCAAAGCAAACATCGAGAAAAAGAAGAGATCGTAAACAAAAACAAAATAAACTTTGGAAACAAACATTCTGGTGATAATGACCAAAAATTTACCCTGGTACAGAGAAGAAAGGCCAGGAGAAATGACCAAAACTTTGTTTTGGGTAAAGCGAATTTCCAAGGAGATGAAAATTTTGCTAGTTCTTTTCATAAAGCTTATTTTTTATCTTGGTCGCGTAAAAATGGCATAACACCCACCTTTATTGAACAACATGTTAAGAAGCAGTGTCCAAATATTAGGGATTTTAAGGTTGAACCGTTACCAGTTAAAGGTGAAAATATCTCTTTCAAAATAAGCATCCATCCAGATGACAAGGAAGATTTTTCGAGGCCGGATATTTGGCCTAAAGGCATCATTTTAAGAAAGTTTTGGATTTCCAATAAACGCCAATCCGAAAATTTTCAACAAGATCGAGGAGATCAGACCAGGATATAACTAAAAATGACTCCTTGAAATCAAAATCAAATGTATGTGTTTACTATCTCAACACTGGGGGCATGCGAACAAAAATACAGAGTTTCCAGCAAGCTTTGAGTTGTTCCTGCTATGATATAATAATGATTGCAGAGACTTGGTTAAATTCAGATTATTCTGATGCTGAAGTGGGAGTTCCAGAGTATGACATTTATAGATGTGATCGTGAATTGGGGTTTAAACACTCTAAAGACACGTGGAGGTGGTGTATTAATCGCAGCTAGAAAGAGCCTTTCTACTCAAAAAATCGTAGTTCCTCTTGTTGACTCTGACATATATCATTTATACCTATCATTTAAAATCAAATCTCAAAATTTTGTTATTGCTGTGTATATATACCTTCTCCATCACCTTCTCAGTCTTATTTAAGTCATTGTGAAACTGTTGAATATGTTTACACTAATTTTTCAGATAGTTTGTTTGTCTTGGCAGGTGATTACAACCTACCACAAGCTAAATGGGGCAATGATGAGTTGGGATTGACAGTGACGGGCACTGGAAATGAATCTGTAAGTATTGTAGCAAATTGCTTTAGTTTCTATAACTTCTTTCAAAAGAATGATATTTTGAACAGCAAAGGAGTCCCATTGGACCTGGTTTTTAGCAATTTGGAATCTATTAATGTTACTCCAGCAGTAGATAAAATTTTTGAGAATAGTTTAAATCATACAGCTATCAGTTTTGAACTAGTGTGTGAAGAAAATTTTGATGTTATGAATTACGAGGAATACTTTTATGATTTCAAAAATGGTGACTACTTTTCAATAAATAATTATTTAGCAAGTATAAATTGGGAGGTACTGTTTCTTAATGGTACAGTTGATAGTATGGTGGTCATTTTTTATGATATAATTTATTCACTGATAGAACACTTTGTTCCACTAAAGAAATATAAAACCTCTACCTTTCCCTCTTGGTTCTCGTCAGAGCTGCGTAACCTAATTATATGTAAAAAACAGGCCCACAAACAATTTAAAATTAGTGGTAGGCAAGATGATTATGACCATTTTGTGGATTTAAGAAACCAGTGTGAAATTTTAAGAGCAGACTGTCAGAAACAGTATTTAGATGGGATACAAAATAACATTTCCGATAATCCAAAATATTTTTGGTCTTATATTAAAAGCAAAAGAAATGGGTATAATATACCATCCAGAATGGTCTATAAGGATAGGGTTGGCTTAAATATGAAGGACTCTGCCAATATGTTCGCAGAATATTTCTCATCAGTCTACTCAGATGAACAAAAAGATACTTTACCTTTTTTTTAATTTGGACAGTTCTATTTGTTTGAGTTCTATAATACTTACAGCAACTGAGGTGTATGATACTATTGCAAGTTGTAAAAACAGATTATGTGCAGGACCGGATGGAATCCCAGCCTATTTTCTGAAAAAATGTATATGTGTACTTACAAAACCAATTTTGTTTATTTTTAACAGATCACTTGGTACTGGTAGCTTTCCCAGTCTCTGGAAGAAAAGTTTTTTTAAAGCCGATTTTTAAATCGGGTGCAAGGAACGATATATCAAACTATCGAGCTGTCTGTAATCAGTCGGAGCTGCCCAAGTTGCTTGATTGTTTGGTTAGTAAGAAACTGACATGGAGTTATAGAGGCATTTTTAATCCTGAACAATTTGGCTTTATGAGAGGGAGGTCAACAGATACCAACCTGGTTTTATATGTCAATCATATATATAACAGCTTTGAAGAGGGGTGCCAGGTTGACTCAATCTATACTGACTTTTCCAAAGCATTTGACCGGGTAAACCATGGGGTCCTCTTACAAAAACTAAGAGCTTTGGGTATTTTTAGATCCCCTTCTTCAGTGGATTACAGAATTTGTTAGTGGCCGTACGCAGACAGTTAACTTGGGAAGTGACACTTCAATTGAAATAACAGTTCCATCAGGCGTGCCACAAGGCTCCCATTGTGGCCCTGTTTTGTTTTGCTTGTTTCTGGTTGATTTAGTACAACAAATCAAAAATTGTAGTGTTCTTATGTTTGCTGACGATGTAAAACTGTTTAGAAAAATTCAATCCTGGAATGATGCTGTTATATTACAGGAAGATCTTAAATCGTTTTATGATTGGTGCACTTTAAACAAAATGTCACTCAATATAAACAAATGTCATAAAATGACATTCTCGAGGCAAAGAAATCCAATTACATTTGTTTACTACATAAAATAACTTGCCATTAGCCTCGAAAAATGAAGTATTAGATTTGGGAATTTGGTTAGACACCAAACTGTCATTCTCAAGCCACATTAACCAAGTAACAAACAGAGCGATGAAAGTGCTGGGATTTATCCAACGCACATCTGTGGATCTGTCTTTATTTACATTTAAAAGACTTTATTGTGGTCTCGTTAGGCCCATTCTTGAGTTTGGATCAGTTGTATGGTCCCCATCATACCACTGTTACATTCAACAGATTGAAAGAGTCCAGAATAAATTTTTGAGGGTAGCAGCCTATAAGAGTGGATACAGGAGAGAGGAATACGACTATCAGTGGGTAAGAGATAGTCTTAACTTACCAACTCTTGAGTCAAGGAGGACATTGTTGGATTTATGTTTCTTACACAAAGTTATCAATGCTTTTATAGATTGTCCTCAACTCTTATCGCTTGTTAGTCTTAAAGTTCCTAGTAGAAGCAACAGACAATCAGAAATCTTTTCGGTGCCATTTCACCACACTAATTATGGTACCAATGAACCAACTACACGATTGGTCCGGAGTGCTAATAGCTTGCCAAGACAAATAGATATTTTTGACTCCAAAATTAGTTTGTTCAAAAAACAACTAAAAAATATCTTACAATAAGTTGGTTATACATCTGTATTATTCTTATATGTTTGTATTATTCTGAGGTGTTTGTTATTTTAATAATTTATTGTTGTTAAGGTGTAACTTTTTAAAACTTGTGATTGTTATTTTAATAATATATTGTTTTTTAAGATGTAACTTTGTAAAAATTGTAAGTAAATGGATGCCGTATATAAATAAATAAATAAATAAATAAAAAGAACTGGGGGAGACCTATATCCAACAATGGAAGGATAGAGAATAGGTTAAAAAAAAAACCTTTGGGATATTATTAGAAGCCTATAATTGGATGGGCCCTCATTGTCGCCCTTCTTATCTACTGGTACCACCACTGCTTTTTAAGGAGATCAGGAAAGATGCTTTATTTAAAATAGTGATTTATAAGTGTTTTTAGAGGACTAGCAATGAGATGTGTTAATGCTGAACATACAGTTGGCAACATTTGGCAAGATAAAACAGTAAGGGCTCTTGTTAACGAACGTTTTTTTAAACGGGTATCGGGCCGATGCTAAACGGGTACCCGCATTAACGGTTCATAATTTTCAAGGGATATGGGTCCGTTGACACGTCCGTTGACAATATGGAATCTCCGAAATATCGTCAGTTTTAAAGTAACAAGTGCACGCAATACATGTTATATCATGTTGTCGTCAAAGAAAAAATTATACTAGCCTATTATTTATATAAAAAAAAATGCAGAAGCAACGAGAGAAGCGTAAATGAAAAATATGGATACATTCTATTTTGTTAGAAAGAGAAAAGTATGGTGCTTTTCATACACTTTACGAAGAATTGAAAAAAGATGAAACAAAATTTTTCAATTAGGTACTTCCGAATAGGTCAAGAAACTTTCCGCAAATTGTTAGGAATAGTACATGATAGATTAAAACGTGCTGACACTAATATGAGGCTATCCCTTGCACCTGCTGATCGACTAGCTGTTACCTATGTATGAATTATGCTATTAGTATAACAGAATAAAAACTTTCGGTTATAAAAAAAACTGAATAAAAAAATTACAAATTTAATAGATTTTTTATCATTTAAGAATATACAATCTATTTATAAAATAAAAATTATTGGTGAAATAACTTATTAAAGTCTCCATATCAAAATCCATTATTTTAGCGGCAACAAAGAAAGAAATTTTATTGAATCAACGGATGCTCGTCCCGTTAACACACTTGCATAAACTAGAATGGTTCACTGAGGGTTCACGGCACCGGCCCGTCGAACGTCTTGCCGAGGTAGACTGGATATGTAGACCAGAGAACTACGAACGCAGTTCTCTGATGTAGACGATGAAAAGTTAACCAACGGGTTGGTTGCCGTTGCGTGAACAAACATTCATACGAACCTGAAAGACACATATTGTCAGCCATACTGGTTTGAAGCGAAATGGTGCCCTTTTAGGTGTTTTTATATATGTAGAAGAAATCAGGGCACTACCATGAAGAAATGCTTTATTTAAATATTTCTAATTTCTAAATAATTCTAAGGACATTCTCCAGTTTGTTGATATTAATTCTGCCATGCAGTTTTGGATTATGCATCTTTTCACAGTCGCCTTGTTAAACGCTTTTCAATGATGATATTCGAGTAAAAAATGTCAATTATTGTTTGTGTATTTAATTTAAAATATTCAGCTTCATAGAGTAGAACACTATAATGTATAACCATATAATATGTATGTATAGTATGTTATTCTGGTAGATTCTACAACTGTCTGTATTTAACTGATTTATTGACAGCATACAATTGAGTTATCACAATTAAAAATCTGTCCATCATCCAATCTTTACCATTACCATCAGATGTTGGTATTATATTAGATATAGTATTATTTTAACTCAAAATTTAATAAATTAAATTATTCTGTCTCCAGTAGTTTTATTTTTATTTATTTTGGTCCGTCAGATAATTATTTGGTGACTTAATAATTACTTTTTTAAAACCTTGCTTATTTCGGGAACTATGGAAATTTTCTGCATTTTATTTTAATTAATTAGTGTATCTGAGCTCAAAAGGTTCAAGTATTTTTTTATACTGTCATCTATGCCTGAAGAAAACTGTTTCTCTGACTAGATTTAATTCCTGAACGTGCATTTTTTATTAATAATACCTTATAAGTGATTCTTCTATCATAGTCAGTTTTGGTTTAGTCTTATGGAGAAATGTTTTCAGATTGTTGGTTCCCAATGTTTCATTGTAAGTATTTTTAGCACACGGTATTGTGACCTACTTCTTTTTGATTTTTTTTCTGGCGTTATATTACTATTGACCTCAGAAAGAATCCTGATTTGATTGAAGAGTGTGCTGCCTTTTTTGGTGCAGAATATCTTGGAGTTGTCCTATATTTTCTTGTGTTATAGATTTGTCTTCGCTTACTTCATTCTATTTTTCTTAAATGTATGTTATAGAACTTAACAATTTAAAAATATTAAGGGTTTTTTTAAACTTCCTGATTTGGTTGGTAGCTTTAAATCACATTATAATATTGTTATAGTTTGAACATAATAAGTTGAACATTTATACACAGTTTTATTAATATTGTAAATTGTAGTTTTTGTACTCAATAGTTTACATTATTTTATTTTTATTAACAGTTAGTTGGTAGCGGACGTTTTGCTACAGTCAACTTGGTCTTTTCTGAAAAATCAGCCCATATTGCACAAATGGTGTCAAAACAAAAGTTAACCAAAAAGAAAAGGCAGCCTTACCAGTAAGTATAACTGTTCTTAATAGCGTAGAATTTTTAAATTTGCAATAATTGTAGTTATAGAAGTTGTGAATGTAGATGTAATTTTTAACCTACCTCCAAAGTTGGTCATGGTTATTGAAAATGCGGCTTATCACCATGTTTAAAAAGATAAAGCACTGAATTCTAACAGTAATAAACAAAATATTAAAATTAGATTTGTACAACATTATTAAACTACATAAGCCCAAATTTAAAACGTTCGAGATATATGCAATTTTAACTCAACATGAGCAGTGTCTTACAATTACCTCCGTACCATCCAGATTTGAATCTCATCGATTTAGTTTGGCCATCACCGAAGCAATACCAACATCAATTATTGTCGTTAGTAAAAACCATACACCGCCACAACAATTCATAATCAATTCACAGCCAATAACACAAATTGACAGCAAATTTTATTTGGGTACCAATAGATTTCCTATCCGCGTGTTTTCATCATTTTGCTTCGTTCCTAATTTTGCATGGAAATCTACGATGATTATTGTAAGAATATATATCCATAGTCTAGCATCAATATAAATGTAAATATTAGAATACCTCATTTTATAAAATTTATGTTTCTTTCAATTACTCAACAATTTATCTAAAAGTACTTATATTTACTATTTGCAGAAGAAGAACAGTAGTAGTTCCACCACAACGTTCAGCGCACAATGTCGATAGTATCAGACCTGTTGAAAGACAGAAAATGGTATATCCACCAATTAAACCTTTATTTCCACCTACACAGAATATGGCAAATCCACCAATTAAACCTTTATTTCCACCTACACAGAATAAGGCAAATCCACCAATTAAACCTTTATTTTCACCTACACAGAATATGGTATATCCACCAACTAAACCGTCACGTACACCTACACAGAATAATGTTGGAACAAATTATTCTAATTACAAAAAAACTATCTATGGACCTCCTTCACCTTCAACTTCAGGACATTCAACTGCTGGCACAAGTAGTCCAGAACAGAATGAATCACGTGTCAAGCCATTTGAATATAAAAATAATTGTGTAAATACTGATCTTATTTCAAATGTACAAAATTTGTCAATTTCAAAAAGCAGTCAAAGTTTAAATCCGGTGAGAAGAACGAATAAAAGTTTATCACAAAATAATTTTGGTAGATTACAACAATCTCAAAATGACCATACAAATATCGACAAACATACTTTAACTAAAAATGACCTATTTTCCGTAAAGGACGAAGAAGATAATGTGCCTGCTAATATAAAAAATAATCTAAGGCTATTAATACAACAACACCCTGAAGGTATGTGGTGTACAGAACTTCCTAATGCTTACAAGTAAGTTTTTTTAATTTTTACTAATAATAAAGCATTTTCATGATCTTTATTAATGATTTATTCATTTAAGATTATTCGATTCATAGATTCATTTCTTAATATCATTTTGAAGCTATTTTCTTGTGATGTTTTAATATTATTTACTATCTTCAATATGAATTAACCACAATTTCAGTTTAAAATACGTTTATTTGGACGTTTCGATTTTCACTTCGGAAATTTTGAGCACGATTTCCGAAGTGGAAATCGAAGCATCAAAATAAACAGATTTTAACTGAAGTTCTGGTTAATTCACATTAAATATAGTAAATATATTAATATCATTTCACCAATGTTAAAAATCGTCAATCGACAAAAAATCAAGTAGTACATTACATGTCAGCTATATAGAAAGAACCTGCATATATTTTTGTACCACTTCACCCCGAACGGTGTTAACACTGATGACACGTCACTTTGTTAAATCATTTAATTAATACGAATTAAATCAAAACTCGCAGGGGGTAAAAACGCAAAAAATCGATTTACCAAGAATCTGTACACCGTAGAAAAAAATGTTTCAAATAAAAAATGTAGCTGAGGTATTTTTAAACAAAAATGGTTATAAGCATTTTTTGTGTATAATGAACCGTTCTCGTAGAAATAACACTTGAAGCGACCGTCGATTTTGCATGTCAGTTTCGTGCGCGATATCTTTTGATTTAAGTGGCCTATCGACAAAAATCAAGATGCATTTTAAAGGTAAAGAGTTCAGCTTTCGTATGTAGTTTTTGTATTTTGCTACAAATAAACTCATATTTTATACAAGTGTTAAATAAATATACGTGGCGCAATTTTTGCTATTTTTTATGATTCTTACGAGATCACTACAATCTATTTCTTTTATTGGCTGGCCACTATGAAGTCTTGATTACTAGAACCTAACCTTTAAAACCTATAGCATAACATTGTAGTTTTGAGTTTTGCCAACAAACGTGAGGCATTTGAAATATACTTAAAAACACTGTATTTAAACTTTCAGACAACAAACGATCTAAACATTTTAGTAGACCTACTAACAGGTTTTGTTCACTAACATTCAGACGAATCATAGATAAAATCACACTCACTCACATTCAATGCAACTCTAAAAAATACTACATAAAATACAGGTCATTGACTAATCTACGATTTTCCATGGTCGGCAAATTAAGATGATTTTTGATATTGGAATACTTGTGTAATTCAAAGCAGAACATACTTAGGAATGCATTCTGCAATACTTATATCTGCTCTTTCTTCTTCTTCTTCTTCAGCCTTCATTTATCCATTGCCGGATATAGGCCTCCTCCAATTGCTTCCACGCTTCCTTATCATTTGCAATTCTCATCCACTGCTTTCCAGCTACAGCTGTTATATCGTCTATCCATCTTTTTTTGGGCCTCCCCACGCTTCTTGTTGTTTCTCGAGGTCTCCAGAATGTCACTTTATGAGACCATTTGTTGGTGTCTTGTCTTGCTACATGTGCTACCCATTGCCATCTCAATGTTGCTATTTTCCCATGATGTCGGTTACTTTAGTTCTCCGACGTATTTCGGTGTTAGGAATTTTGTCTCATGAGGCTTCTATTTAACATGGCCCTCTCCATGGCCCGTTGAGTTACTCTTAATTGTTCTGCCAGTTTTCTTATTATTGCCATAGTTTCCAATCCCTAAGTTGTTGCAACTGGTAGTATACAAGTGTCATAGGTTTTTCTTTTTAAGTGTATTGGGATTTTTCTGTCTTGTAAAATGAAGCTCAACTCAGAAGCAGCCCATGACAATTGTGTCCTTCTTTTAATTTCTAGGGCTTGATTTTCGCTTTCGTTTTTAATTGCATGTCCTATATATATATATATATATATATATATATATATATATATATATATATATATATATATATATATTGTTCTACCTTTTCTATATTGATGTTATCTATCGTGATGTCTTCTACGCTGTTGGTTATTATCTTTGTTTTGTCGAGATTCAATTTTAATCTTATTTGATTCAATTTGTGATTTAAATCTTGTAGCATTGATTTTAGTTCATGGATATCTGTGCTTATTAGGACTATGTCGTCTGTGGAACGCAAATGGTTAAGATATACTCCATCTATTTTTAATCCCTTTTCGGCCCAATTTAGTTTTTTGAAGACATTTTCTAATGCCAAAGTAAATAACTTGGGTGAGATGGTGTCGCCCTGTCTCACACCTTTGCCAAGGTCTATTTTCATAGTTTCCAGATAATCATCTATTTTTACTTGAAAAGTAGCATCATCGTATATATTCTTAAGGAGGGCAGCACATCTTGATTCTACTCTGGCGTCGTCCAATGTTGTGAAGAAAACCCATTTCTCGATACTGTCGAATGCTTTGTGATAATCGACAAATGCCAGATGTAGTGGTATATTGTACTCTATTGTTTTTTTCAATAAGTGTCCGGATTGTTTGCAAGTGATCCATAGTGCTAAAAACCCTTACGAAAGCCTGCTTGCTCCACTGGTTGGTTACATCCAGCTTAGATGTCAATCTATTTATTATTATTCGGGTTAGTAGTTCGTAAAGGTGTGACAATAAGCTTATTGGTCGGTAGTTTTCTATATTTGCGGCGTATATATCTGCTTTTTATGGCATTCATATTCGAGCTAATTGAGCCATAATTTGCTACGGATACCACCAGCGGGCAATATAGGATCTTAATGGACACCTATGAATCAATTTACACCTATTAAACCATTTTAGTGAATCCCAACATTTTGAATGTTTTAGATTATTTTCTTTGTTATCTTGAGACCTCTATCAGTATAATTGTCGAACTATTGAAAACAAGCAAGATGGTAACAATACCTATACTAACAGAATCATTTAATAGATATGTCCATAATAGCAAAATCCCTAAAGACTAGACCGAAAACTTCACAAAAAGGGGACAAATCTGACCTAAAGAATTATAGACCTATATCGTTGCTCAGTCAAGTATACTAACTGTTTATGACTCAGTCAAGTATAACTACTGTTTATGAGAGTTACCAACAATTGGTTTAGTTAGAAAATGGATAAATATCAACCGGTTGAACAGGCTGGTTTCCGCACAAGATATAGTACATCAGACCATCCTGCTGACAATTGCTGAACATTGATAGAGAAGGCAAATGAATACCAACTACCCTTATTTCTTGGCTTTGCAGATCATGAAAAAGCATTTGATAGTATCGAGATGTGGGCCATAGAACAAGCTATTAATAATAATTGTAGAATAGATTCGAGTAGTATTATATCAATCACAATTGATTCGTTCGTTTTGATTCAATTCAAAAGAACTATGCGGAAATCACTAGAAGAGCAAGACTGGCATGGGCAGGATTCGAAAAACTCAGTTAGATACTTAATAACTGCAAAATAACCGAAAAAGTAAGGTAAAGAGCAATGTTAGTTATACGACTATCAGATAAAAAGGGGAACGACTGGGTAAGATCAAAACAAGGGTCGAGGATATCAGAACAAAAATTGCCAACCTCAAATGGAGCTTCGAAGGCCACACCGCAGGACAAAAACACCAACATTGGAATACAACATTTGAGACCCAAGGGTAGACGACCAAGAGGAAGACTACAGATGAGATAAGTAGATGATATAAAAAGAGTAGCCTGAACAAATTGGAGTTGGTTCTCAGGATAAAGAGCGAAGGAATTGGGAGAGGCTTATGTCCAAAAATGGACGATAGAAAGCTAAGAAGAAGAACATACCCATTCCACAATTCTGGAACCCTGCACCATCTTGTACAGGTCTAGTGGATGGATACCATATGTTTTTGGAGTAACATACATATTTTGTTCATGTGTTATTGTGGACGAAAAAGTGGCTGAATTTCATAGTTTTTAGGCTTCTTAACTCGAAAATACACGACGCATGGCATCGGTTCTTTTTAGCTGGCGATTTTATTTGACGATTTATCTAAAAACTTACACTTTTGTCATAATTATTTTCTTTGTAATGTTTAAATATTCAATGTTAATGTTTAAAAATTCTTTACTTGCTATTTATAATTTACCGTTTAATGTATCCTCAAGTAGTGTAGGCTTTCACGCCGGTGTTTTGTAATTGTACATATATTTTTTGGAGGTCTGTAGGTTATACTCTGGAAATATTTATTTTTGTCGTTTAATCTGTAAGTCCAGTAGATATTATCAAAAGCCATGTGCCAGCGAAAGTAACTCTTCCACTTCCGCGGTACTCAAAATTAATCTGCGACTGACTCATAGTTCGCAGAAAGTTGCGAGGGTAATTTCTTAAACAAAAAAGATTTCTGCTGAAATATGTCAGAAATGGATATTACGAAGAGAATAGCTGTGTGCTATTCTTATTGGAGAAACATGATGAGGAAGAGATATAGAATAATGCTGAAAATTAAAAAAAAAATGTTGTTTATTTGTACTTATATTATATCAATCTCAGCAAATTTGCAGTTTAAAGCGGAGGATGGTGATTGACCAAATCAGCTTCTGTACATGCAAATTTTTGACTCATCTCTTTGAATTTGAAACACACGCACGCTTTGTGGTAATTTTTACTACTAAATAATATTTCGGTTTAGAGCGGAAACCAAAAAGTTGTTGGAAATGTCCGTCACCAACTGCAGCTGACTTTGAAAACTACCACCATATAATTATTCTCCGAAGTCGGCTACATTCGGTTTCCATTGACGGAGACTGATATAAAACCACGGCTTAACTGTTTCAGATGAAACACAAACAAGAAATGTATCCAGAGCACGGCCTATATACCGCGAAAACTTTGTATCATTTAATCCATTTTTTTTTGTAGGAAAATGTTTAAAACGGAGTTGAAATTTTTTGAGTTGGGTTTCCGAAATCTCATAGAGCTTTGTGTGTATTTAAAATCAGTATTTCATTGGGTAAGGCCGGGTCAAGGTGATTTTAAGTTATATGACAGAAGTAAACCATTACCTAACAATGCAGAAAAAAATTTCACTGTAGCTAGTTATACCAAACCAATAGAAACTATTAGTAAAACTCAAGTTGACGGTGCTGTACCTCCTCTTGGCGTAAGTATTTGTATTGTACTATATTGTAGCAACGTAATTTTTAATTTTGATGATTTATTTTTCATTATGGAATCTACTATGTATATTCATTTTATTTTAATCATACCATTGTTTAAAATATATCACATAAAAATAAACGGAACATATGGAACTGAAGAAGTAGGAAATTACATGCATGTTTATAGCAGTGTTACTAAATATGTTAAAAATTTAATTAAAAATCCTTTGTAATAGGTATATATTTAAGGCCCAAACGGGCTAAGGTTAAAAGACATAACGTTTTCGGAAACCATGTTTCATCATCAGTGTCTAGGAGTACATGAATGTAGCCACCAAGATTAAATATATGGGTAAAAATCCGTTAACAGATGTTTAATTACATTTAGTTTTAAAAATACGTTATAATAATTTAAGATTATAGAGTTACCGATGGATTAGGTAACATGGCGACATATGACTCCACGTTGAAGTTGCTAGTCCTGAGACGGTATGTCTTCAAGGACTGTATGAGTGCAACTATGAGTACAGTCCTCGAAGACATACCGTCTCAGGACTAGCAACTTCAACGTGGAGTCATATGTCGCCATGTTACCTAATCCATCGGTAACTCTATAATCTTAAATTATTATAACGTAATCTTGCTTTTATAAGTGATTTTTTAATAAAAAAGTTTGTTTTTTTTATAAATTTTAGAAATATGGCATTACAAGATAATTTCTTCAAATTTATCGCATATTTTGGCTTTTAAAAGCTAAAACAATTTTCTATTATTATTCTTTTTGTAGTGGGATGACGTGTTATGCTTCTTACCGCAAAATATATTAGAACCAGGTGACGAAATTCCTCGTTATTTTGTGCCCTCCGAGACAGCGGAAAACGACATTTTAGATGTAGTAGTCTGTGAAATATGTGATGCTTCCAAATTTTGGGTTTATATTAATGATGGAAAGCTGGATAAACTTATGGATGATATGCAGTAAGTGAATGTATTGTGATTTTTACAACAATCTTTAAATTGTGTCGTATTGTTTTTTTTTTTGACCAGTCAAGAACTAATGCATGCAATTCAAGCCAAATCTGATAGTTGTAAGGATTGTATAAACCGAATGAGTAAAACCGTATAAGTATAGTACCGTATAGTGTAAACCGTGAAGTCAACTTGGTATTTTATTGCAATTTGGATTAGAAACAAAAGTTTTTGCTTTTGTATGATTTATTTTAAATTGGTTTATTTGTAAAAATCCATGTTCAAAGTTTAATTACACAGAGAAAATCAAAAACAACCTTACAACTGAAGATATATTAAAGCCCAAGAAGGGTGTTTTCCCTTTTCAAAGTCTTGAGCAGAATGGATAAGTCTAAATTTTCCAGTTTGTCAATGGCGTACTTTTTTTTACTGTAATGTGTAATGAAAATACTGCAATGTGTTTGCTTTTGTAATGAAAAAAGTTTGGTTTTTTTCTCACAGAAATTCAATGAAGTTTTTATGACAAAACTGTTGTTTTCATAGATATTTGTAAATAGATATCATGTATTTATTTGGTTCTCGTACCAATTAGAAACGTATACAGTTAATACTTTATTTGCAAAATTAACTAATGAATAAATTTTTACACAATATGTTGGTTGAATTCAGATCGGATGGTTTTTGATAAATAAAATTAAAAAATGTAACCTTCAACGAAACAGTCATTTTAAAGAAGCAATCAACGTCGAGAGTCAATGTCTAACATATAACCATCGAGCAATAAGACAAAAGAGGGAATCTAATCCTTATGAAAAGGAGACCAAAAAAGTGGCCTCTGATGGCGGACATATCCGGAAATGCGAATGCGCGAAATTTAAATTTTCCGACACTTATCAACAGTAGCCATATAATATTTTTCAGAATGTGTCTTAGACGAGAAAGTTTTAATTAATTGTTAATGATAAGAGTCTAAAATGCGACACAATTGTTAAAAAACTTCAATATAAATAAGATTTCATGTGACATTTGGGACAAACAATAACATAACCCAACTAAATTTGATGTCAAACAAGGATAAAGACTCTCTTTCCTTGTTTAATGTGGCCTCTAAAGATCGCACTTCCTGTCTAACAATATGTTTGCCCCCACTACCTTTACATTCCCTCTATTGTCTTTTTGCTCGATGCATATAACAAACGTTTCTGTTAGTTCAAGGCAGGTCAAAGGTATTCCAAAATATGTGTAAAAACAAAATATAAGAAATATTTAATCAGCTTCCATGTTTTGTAGTAGTAAATTAGGAACAAAATAATAATACAAATAAATGAATTAACAAAGTCAGTGAAATAAATTTATTGTATGTGCAGTCGAGAGATCCTTTTTGGAGTGATTTGATAATCTTCGATATCAGTCTGCACTCTTTTGAGATTCTCCTCAATTCAAGTCACGACCTGTATCCCCGCTGATGAATACTTACCAAATTTTTAACTGTTCGTATATTATATAAAAATTCCGCGTCATTGGCTTTAGCCCATGGACGTATAAATAAAGATCTTTATTTATACGTCTTTATTTATACGTTTATACGTTTAAACGTATAAACGTTTAAACGTATAAACGTTTAAACGTATATACGTTTAAACGTATAAATAAAGACGTATACGTCTTTATTTATACGTTTATATAAAAATCTTTATTTATACGTCCATGCTTTAGCCTTACAGTAGTTATTCGTCTTTCCATAATCCAATTAAAGTCGAGTCCAACGATATTTCGTTCGTCGGCAAATTTAAAACAGATAATATTTGTATGTTATGAAATTCGAGTAACCGATATCCAGGGACGTATCGCGATATTGGTTTTTTCACCGACACAAATTTTTTGATACAATTATTAAATCATAAAATAACAATGTGTAATGTGTATATTATAGTCAAAGAGCAGAAAATCTGATTTTGGAAAAACAAGCAAAACGTTATATTTCTTTGTTTAATATTGAAAAATACAAGAAAATATTGTTTTAAACAAAGTTAGCAATTTATAATGAAAAACTGAGATATTTTAACTGAAATCGTCATGTTAGCGTACCTTGTCTAAAATATTTCTCCTCTAGGCGAGCTGTCATCATCGTCACTATCCACCAGAATAATAATAAGTTGTTCACTGTTTAAAAATAATTGTCCTACAGTAAATTCAACCTCAAGCTACGGACGATGGAAACAAATGCACGCTGTAAACACGCGTTTGTTCAGGGCCGGGCTAGTAAATTAAAGCTGCAATACAAAACCTTATATAATTTGTAGACGTCTGACAGGTACAGATTATAGTACACCAATTTTTTAAATATAAAAATGATTTACAAAGTCGAGAGTTATTAACAACAAAATAAAGTATACAAAAAAAGTTTATAAAATTACCGTTTTTTATCTTAACTTTCAGAATCTGATGTACTGTTGTCATCATTAAAGTTGATAATGATAGGCTCAATTTGTGCCTCAATTAAATTGTCCAACTCCCACATTTTTGGCTCCACTTCTTCTTTTACATGTTTGACGCAGTTTTTCCATTTTTCCATGGTTACAGCAGACACAGCTTCATGAAATAAATTTTTAATGTCAGCAAATTTAAATGTTGTGTTATGCCATGCTACATAATTCTTGACTTCCGCCCATACAAGCTCGATTGGATTGAACTCGCAGTGATACGGTGGCAACCTTAAAACTATTCTATTTGTGCTTCTTACCAGTTCATCTACTATGTACTTATTATATTCGCCTTTATGTTGTTTAACGATTTCTAAAAGTTGCACCTTTAACATCGTTTCTTCAAAGGGAATGTCTTTTGAGCGAAGCCAATTTTGAATATCTGCCTTTTTTGTAGCCATAATGGGAATTTTTTCCAATTTTCTGGAATGGTAAGGGGCATTGTCCATTACAATTATAGCATTTTTTTTCAGTGTTTGGAACGCTAAAGTAGGATTATCTTGTAATTCACATTTGTATGTATTAACCATTATTTTTTTGATTCTTATATCTACGTGATTTTTCTTAGCTCTTTTCCTAGGAGGACTTAGCGTTAACAGTTCCTCATTTTCATTTGCCGACTCCGTATCAGACATATTAAATAAATGGATTTATTATACTTTTCTCAACTAAAATAACAAAATGGGCATTTTTCAAATTTACTTTTATAGTAGAGGATCCGATATAAGGTTTACCTACACCGCTTTGGTAAATGTGATATTTTTTACTATCGATTTTGATCCTTGAAAATCGTCATCTATCGTTCTTCGTCTGTCAATTCTTGTTCGCCTGTCAATTCTTCCTTGTCTTCCAGTTTTAAATTATTATAACTCGAACACGATCAACTTAAGAAAAATTACAAAATAAATTTTTGTTTAGAATGATCCAAAAAATCTAAAACAATATCTGCCCGGGTTGATTTTTTTTAAATATATAAAAAAAGGTATTTTTAACTCTTTTCGGCACATCGGATTGAAATTTGAACCACCAAATTTTTGCTACATGTTGTACAGTAGTCCACAAAATGAATAACTTATTAATCTATTTTTATCAAGTTACACCTACGCAAGTGGTTGTATTACTTATTCCCTCTGTCCCTATTAAGTGTTATCTTTAATTGGTAAAATTCCCACGGTATAGTTATTGGCCAAACGCGAATGGTTATCAGTTGTTTCTTGAAAAGTGAGGTCATTTTACTTTTTACGTGTGCAATTGAATCTTTCTATGCCCCAAGGGTCCATTGTAGAAAATTTATAAAATCTCGTGCCGCAAAGAGTTTAAATTAATTATAGTCAGGACAAAATTATATCGGGCACCTCTTGTTTTTCATAATTTTTAACATACTAAATAATTTTTATCCATTAAACATATCAGTGCAGGTCGATATTATATCTTATCTTATGGCTATTATAAATGCTTTATTATACTTACAGGAATTATTTTAAAGTGGGGAAAAAGTTTGTATCGACTATAATTAAATGTTCTTAAAATGCTTTGCACTATCCACACACGAGCTAACGATTAACAAATAAACAAACCAACAAACAGCTTTGCACACAAATTACTGGGCCATTTCGCATTCGACAGAGGACGGAGCGGAAAAACGAAGTCCGCACCTGTTAGGGCTAACTGCCTGACTTACGATCGTTCGACAATTTGGCCAATAGCAAGGCGTTCGTCACGTGTAGACTCGAATATCACGCGGTGACTTGTGTTGATTCTGTCCGTAACTTGAAGTTGAATTTACTGTAGTCTTCTGTACTCATTTTCTACTTTCACTACACGGTTTACTGCTTTTTTCCAGTCGGCACTTGTAATATCTAATAGTTCATATCGAATTAAATCGACCACTTTCGCGTCAAATTTTGGAAAACTATTTTTCCTCCTAATCAGTTTTTTTTTTACTTGTCCCCAAATAAGTTTGATAGAATTGAATATGCAAAAATAAGGTGGTAACCTCAAAACATTATGGCCATGTTGTATTGCAATACTGTCCAGTATATACTGTTTCTTATAAGTTTTAGTACGAAGCACTTTAAGTAACTGTTTCTTATTATAGTTGTCTTCAAAATACAAATCATTTTCTGAGAGGAAATCTTTTAGTTCCTGTAAACTGAAACCTGAAACTATTCCTGAAAACCACTCTTCGAATATAGTAGAATTCATATTCTGATGATAATCTACACTACATTTTTCTATTTTTTTTTTTTCGCAAAGCATTAACCCATTTGGCACCCAACCATTTGCAGATCCACAGTGCACAATAATCATCCGAGAACATTTATTTGGAGGCACTCCTTTCAACTGGCACCGAAGTGAACCATCAGTCCAACACTTACTAGCGGTATCATGCGTGTCATACCATGTCTCGTCTAAATATATAGTCCGCTGTTGGCCTCGATATTCTTGAATTTTTTTAAAATAATGTAAACGCCAGTATACTATCCTCTTACTTTTCATAATAGCCACCCGTTTATCAACGATTTTGTATTTGAACCCAAGTTTTTTCAGCCGCCTACGTAAAGTGGTTTTAGGGCAGCTTCTTCCCATCGCAACAAGCTTGGTGTATATAATATCAATTGTTGTTATTACATTTTTTTGTATTCCTCGTAAACCAAATTCCTTAAACATTTAGCAGTCACGATATTAATTTGTTTAGGTTTTCCAGCATCCGATCTTGTTTTTCTCTTTTTAACACCACTTTTCACGATGTCGCGTATGGTAGAATACGGAATTTCTGTTAGAAAGGCCGCTTTTCTTATAATACTGCCTTTACAACTATTTTCAGGATCATTTTGAAGATTTTTGTAAACGTTCGTACAAATTTTCTTAGATTGTTCATTCAAAACAATCCTTTTCTTTGGAAGTCTTAAATACTTTTCTACAGTTACAGTCTCAGTTCATTGTTTTTTGTATCACTTACACTTGTAAGTGTAAGATTGTTGACTACTATACTTTGTCTACTACTACTTGGGTTTTCTTGCTCCCATGCACGAAAAACTGTATATGATTTTTCCCATGGTCTAAACATTTTCTTTATATACAAATAGACAGTTTAAAAAAAACAAAAAACAAAAAAATACTACAATTATTACTCACAACAAAATTTCAACACAACTCAAAATTAAAGCAATGCACAGCTATTTATCTATAACAAACTACTTGCAAAGATACAACTAAACTAAAAATTTACAAGTCCAGTCCTTTAGACAAGGCACATGCCGGTATTTTTACAACCGGATTACCCATCGTAAATTAATCAGTTTAAAACTTGAAAATTGTTACTTTGACATTAGTACAGTTAAAATTGTTAGACGGTTATATTTAGACGAAATATTAAGAAATATTTTTGAAACTTTTTTCTACTTTTAAGGACAAAAAAGCAAGTTCATTAGCGGAACGTAATTCAAAATTATACTGCACATTATATTTGAATCATTCTTTGGTTAAAGCGTCTCATTTTTGATGGTAAAACATATATTAAGTGCATATAATAATTTGTCTGGACTAAAGGTGGTAAAATATGGTCTGGAAGTTATATTTTTGTTTGAATTTGCCGACGGACGATATAAAGTCGGTGCTAACTTATACCAATCAAATTCCTCATTTACATTAATAATAGAAAAGACAGTTAAGATTTGATGTTACATATAGTGCCTCTGTATATTCGCTTATACGTATTTGATCGTACCAGGATTTATCAGAGCGACCGGTACAGAAGCTCTAAAAGTGAAATCATATCTTTTCCGTCAATAGAAGTGTTGCCTGTTTTGCCTTGCAATCTATGGAAGGCACACATTTAAGTAAATATCTGAAGTTTGGTTTCGTCAATCAAGAAATCTTCGGATTTTTACTTTCTGGTTTTATTCTCAGATGTCGCCTTAGTTTCTTTATTGCAGTTATTTTATTATTACTTCCCTTGGCGTAAAATATGATTTCAATTTAGAGTTTCTTTACAAGTCGTCTGCATCGTCTTTGCATCGTCTGTTTTGACTTGAAATGTATACAAGGCAGAGATTTAAACAAAAATCTGAAGTTTGGTTTGGTCAACTAAGAAATCTTTCTAGAACGGGAGATATAGAAACTATACAGTATTTTGAAGTTCTTTTTAATTTTTTGAACGCTTCAATTTTTAATTTTCCCCTCCATACGGCCCTACTAATCTTCATTTCAGGCTCATTTTTAATACTCACGGGAAATGTTTCAGTTTGATTTTTTTAAAAATTTAAAATTTTTATGATGGAACTTTAAGCATTTTCTTAAAAAAAGATCAGACTAATTACGTTTCTTAATTATTCTAAATTCCCTACTTTTTATCTACTCGTCCTAGAATGTTTTCTTTTCAATTCGTGTAAAATTGTCAGCTCAGAAAGAAAATATATTTCGTATACGAGTAATAGTTTAAAAGTTAGTCTGATTGTTTATAAGTTAAAAACAACAATAACTTTGCAAAATGATTTTTGATTATTAAAATGATTTTTTTTTAACTTTTTTTGTGTATTTTAAAAGTAAAAGCCGTACCTTTCATACGGTACCCATAGAATTATCATACCTTCATTATTTATGTCATGTTATTACAAAAAAATGATCTCTGGGATAAGCAATTTGAATAGCTTTTAAACTAATTAATGGATATAGATGACATTTTGAGGGTTTGTTAAGCACTGCAAGATCCGCTTTCAGAGCAATTACAAAAGTCTAAATTTTAACTAATTAACAATTAACGATTTTGTCTTATTTTGTTGTTTTGGAGCAACAAATTAAGTACCTTATAAAACTTTAACATACGCTTTAGATATTAAAAAACTTAAGTTTTTCTTTCTTATATAAAATGTTTATATTTAAAAATAAATAGATACATTTTTAATGGTAAATGATAGTTCGAAAAAATTTTTTGTAGAAAGCTTATATGTTTTGTTTCTTCTTCTTCTTCTTCTTCTTCTCTTCCTTCTAGTATGTAGGCTTTAAAGCCTGTTTCTTCTTCAATATTAGCCTCCTAAATTGTTTAAATTGTTGAACCATCTTTTTCTTGGTCTGCCAATACTTCTTCGTCCATTTGGTGACTTATCTCGTGCTATTCGTACTATTCTATCCTCTGCCATTCTACTGATATATTCGTTCCACTCCTGTTTCGTTTTGTCACTCATCCATTTATGTCTTCTATATTGCATGCTCTTCTTATGTTTTCGCTTCTCTACCTATCCAACAGACCTCTCCCTGATATTCGTCGAAGTATTTTCATCTCTGTTGTTTCTAGCAGTCGTCTCGTTTTAGATGTGTCAGGTCTTGTCTCCGCCGTATATGTTAATATAGGTCTAATTGCTGCTTTATAGATTCTTGTTTTTGTGTCTTGTCTTAGGTGTTTGTTCTTCCAGATTGTATCATTAAGAGAACCCGCCGCTTTACTTGCTTTTAAGCTTTGTTGTCGTACTTCTTCAACATCTCCGTAACTTGTTATATCCATTTCCAGATATCTAAACCTTGCTTCCTGCTTTATTATTTTCGTATCAATTTCGATCGATTTTACACCGTAGTTGGTATTAAATGTTGTCATACATTTGGTTTTTTCTGCTGATATTATCATATTGTATTTCTTAGCTGTTGTATTGAATATATGTGTTAATCTTTGGAGCTCGTCTTCTGTCCCTGCGATTAATGCGGCGTCGTCTGCATAACATAATATTTGAATTTGTTTGTTCCCCATTCTGTAGCCATGACCTTTACGTACTGCTTGTATTATTTCGTCCATTATTATATTAAAGCGAAGTGGGCTCAACGAGTCACCCTGTCTGACTCCGCTTTGTACTGGTATACACTGTGTTAGTTTTCCATTTATCTTTGCCTGTATTCGATTATTTAGGTAGATGTTTTCAATGGTTTGTATAATATTGATTGGTATGTTACTTTTATACAGTAGGTGTAAGACGTCTTTCACTTGGATGCGATCGAAAGCCTTTGTCAGGTCTATAAAACAGATATACTGGTTTATTGTACTCGATGGCCTTTTCTGTGATTTGTCTTAGTACAAATACGGCGTCTACGCAGCATCTTCCGGATCTGAATCCTTGTTCATCTGATAAAATTTTTAGTTTATTGATTTTATTGGTTAGGACTTTTGTGGTAATCTTAAGTGCGGTGTTCAGTAGATTTATACCTCTATAATTGTTGGGGTCTTCTTTATCTCCTTTCTTGAACATTGGTATTATTATGCTGTTTCTCCATGCGTCTGGTATCTTGCAGTGCAATATTAGTTTTTGTATAAGTTTTGTCATCTCTAGGTTATACTTTCTCCTCCGTATTTTAGAAGCTCGTTGGATATTCCGTCTGGTCCTGGTGACTTTCTATTTTTTGCGAATTTATGGCTATTTCTACTTCCTGAAAACTGATTTCTATTTCGTGTTTTAATTCAGGTACGTTATTGTGTTGATTATTATTTTCCTTTGCTTTAAACAGTTCCGTGGGTATCTTTCCCATTCGTTTACTTGTGCCATGAGTTCTCCATTTGCGTTGACATGGTTTTCATTAAATTTTTGTTTTGTTACTTTAAGTATATATTATCTGAAAAACTCGACAAATACCTGCGACGTTCTGAGACATACTTGTACGTCCTGGACTAATTCTCCTATTTAGTTTTATGTTACAATTGACTATTTTCTGTATTACAGAGATTTCTACCACAAACATGGAGATAAATACAAAGTGCCCAAAGAACTTATACGAAAAGGTCTATATTGTGCAAGTATAATTTTTGGGGAGTATCACCGAGGTTTGGTTACAGAGATCATGAATAATGGTAAAAACAAAGTATGTATTTTTTTCTTATTTAGTGCTTTCTTTTCCAAAAGATCAATTAAACTTTTCACAAAAAATAAATATATTTTTATTTTTGTAGATATTTTACATCGATTATGGCACCATAAGAGTAGACAGTAATGAGCTATACTTCCTCCACAATCGGTTTTCCGAATTACCGGCTCAGACACTTAGATGTAGATTGACTGGCATCCATCCCGTAATCAAAGGAGCAGCGTGGTCTCCAGAATGTACAATTGAGTTTAAATCGTTAACTAAAAAAGGAAAATTTGTGGCTAAAATATCAAGGATTAAGTGGGAGGTAAATATTGTAATGTAGTGTATTCTAAACAACAAAAATGTGACATCAGTTCTACAACTCACCGATGGAAACGTGACCTCCCCCATGTCACGTGTAACTAGTAGCTCTGTTAGACGAAAGACTCAGTAAAACACACATTTAATTTAAATAAATTACCTAAACATCAAGGAGAAAAAAAATACCTACTTATTTTGGGTTGGAGGTGGTCGAATCAGTCACTACTGGATTTAGACGAGGAACGGAAAGCGACCAATCAGTACTTGGTCGTGGGACGGGTGACCGAATTGATCGGATCGGACTTGATCCGGCAAGGAACTGGAAGTGACCAATTAATAGTTACTCACCGGCGGGTCGCTTTGGCCTTAGGTCAATACCCAGAGGCTCGGTGAGGTTCTTATCAGATAAATACTCTGGTAGAACTCGCAGGACGGTCGGAATTTGGTCAATACCCAAAGTCCCGGTGGAGTTTCCAACAGATCAGTACTCTGGCGGAATTTTATTCTCTCTTGTGGCCGATTTCGTTGTATACCGTTACCGGTGATCAATCTCCAGCGCGCATCGATGGAAGTGAAAGGTAGCGTACGTACAGAGTAGTGGTAAGACGCCTCCGAGAGCTGACACTACTATTTTTACACGCGTTACAGTCGGTGAGCTGTAGTTGTATAATCTTAGGCCAGTTTTCCATTAAACGGACAGTTGAGCTTATGTTTTCTTTGTGTTTTTGAGAACTTGAAAAACGAAACTCCAGACATAACCAAAAATCTTGTTTCCATCCAGCGGACTACATTTAGTTGGAGTTTTGTTTTGATTTTTGGATCTATTCCACTAGTTGTCACGATAAAGACAAAGCACAGTTTTTTCTTTAATACCCGACCAACATTAAAAAAAACTCATTCTGCTTCTACCTGAATTTGCATGAGATTTCTTCTTGGATTTCATAGGTCTACTTTCCTTCAAAATAACCTTGATAGCTTCGCGAACAAATATTGGTAAAGTTGGCCAAGCCAATATTTCCCTCGTATATGAGTGACAAAGCTAAAATTTTCAAGTAGAGCCGCCTGTGCGATATACACGCCTTTTCGCTTGCTTCTGAACCTGTAGCAGAACAAGTGTATTAACTCACACAATTTTAAGATGTCTGTAAAACGTGCACAGAGGCCAACAACAGGTTCTCCTTGATACGGAGTATTGGTGACAAAGCTTGTCTGTACTATCAACTTCACCTTTTGTACTATTGTAGAACTGTATTACCCAAAGTGAACCAATTATCAAATACAGAGTTGCTGATTGTGCCGTGGATGGGCATGGTCATTTCAACTGAATATTATGCAGCAACGGATATGTCTCCAGGAGTTGAACCTTTTCCAGTGTAAACCTTGGCATTTATCATATAAAATGTTTTTGCGACACACCGCATTACAATCTTAATACCATATATATCAGGCTTCGACGGAATGTACACCTTAAATAAACATTTTCCTTTGAATGCAATTAGCTGCTCATCTACATTGCAATATTCGGATGGTACGTATAAATCCTGGCTTCTTTGTACTATGTGATCAAACAGCTTTAATAGGGGCTAAGTCGTCGTAATTTCTTTCTTTCTTCTCTGGTATTCGTATGTCTTCATGGTACAGCGAAAATAGCTTACATCTGAATATCTATCAAATAATTATTTTACTGTCATATTATTCATGTTCAGAACTCCTGCCAATATGTAGAGCCCAAATGGTGCATTTAACTCTATTAAGTTAATATGTTTGATACTTGTGGGTCCACACGGCAGCATTCGCAAACTCTCTTTGCTCTTATACCCTCTCACGGTCACTGGTATGCTCAGGACGCTGTCTATGTATTTCTTTGTTTGTGTAATCCTGTATCTGTTACATGATGTCATCGGTATATTTTTGCAGTGCGTCGAGTACGATTGATGGGTCTCACTCTACTCCTTTTAAATTTGTGTTTACCGTAAAGTCTCGTAGGTACATTAACAACCTTTACCATGTTGCCAGAATCTCCCACTCGAATATCATTTTTATCATCATTTTCCGCTTTATCGATGTCTTCCATTTTTTAACTATGTTCGTTCTGAATATCTTTGTTTTCATCTATATCGAAAGGTTCTATCATTTAATCTTATTCACTTTCTGAATTATCTCCTGGCTCTTGGTCACATCTTCACAGATTTCTTTCAACTCATGTTGTTTCAAATACTTTCGTTGCCACTTCTGTTCTTGGCCCCTACTAGTACAAGTTTTATCAAAACTTGTACTAGTACGAAAACCAAAACTCCCAACTCTTACAAAACACGTCAGTCTTCAAAAGTTTGCGGAAAGTTGCAGTTTTTTTTTATTCGACACGATTTTTTGTTTTGTCCGTTTAGTGTAAAACCGCCATTGTGTTGAGATGAAAATATATATTTTATTGACCCATTTTATATTTTAGGATCAAATATTAGAAGTTTTCTTAGCTGATGTAACGAGCTCACCTGTTTTCTACATAAATGATCGTTTAGTGAAACATGGTCATGCTGTATACGTTGATCAAGTAAGTACAGAGAAGAGAGTAAGCTTCAGAAGTGAGTTATTAAAACTGGCTAAAGAACTTAAAACAGAAAAAGGTTAATTATACAGCTATTATTATTACATTCTGGCAGTTTATTCCTAGATTTTACAGTAAATTGTGAAATATAACTAAAACAAACGTAAGTTTATAATAGTTCGCTTGGTAAAACTTTTCCAATCTTCCTTAAGGCATGTTTTACTGAATATTGCTTTAATATCGACAAATAAATTGTTCTCTATAACAGGCTGTACTAAGTAAGGAGTGTTTTTTTTTTAATTTCGTCCATTTTATAAGTTCTATAGCTAAGAGCATATTGATTCTCCTTTGCTTGTAAGACTTAACATGGGGTAGCTATCGATTGATTATATGCGAAATTTTCAACAAAATTCTTAACTCCATTAAAATGTTGACGTTTAACTTATAAAATTCATTGTGAGGACATCGTGTCATTTATTATCAAATATTGATATTCAAGAATCATTTACACCTACATACAAATTTGATGTATGTCTGACTTCGCCACATATTATCTTATTAAAATATAGATGTAATGGTTATTGTATGGTTATTAGCGATTTTGATATTTAATTTACAATTTGTGAAATAGATAAAGAGCAGGTACCCCCGATAAGATAGGCAAAATGCCCTCACTACCAGAATTCTTCTTTTATTATTTTTTTACGTTCTATGTGATTAATTGGGTGGCGCAATTTTAAGCCGCCTACCCCTATTCTCAAAAACGCATTTTTGTCCCTTATAGACCCGTATGTTGAGTGTACATGACATAAAAATTAATTTTTTTTGTTTTTTTTTTTGGAGGTGCTGCAGGCGTATTTTTTTTTCTATTTTATATCCTTAATAAAAACATATATTTGATTTTTTCCAGATTTTTTCGTCATGTGCACTACCTTTAAAAACTCAAAAAATAGGTTTTTTAGGGTTTGTTTGGGCATTTTATCCATTTTGTAGACTTCAAAATAGATCGAATCAAGGTTTTTTATAGCCTATATATTATAATTTGATGTAACTGAGTCTTTTAAGTCATTCAAATATTGAGCAAAACACATTTAAACACCAAAATTCTATGTTTTTTAGTTGTGTTGGTTCTAAGTGTTTTAAGGGTTTTTGCGGTATCAATCATATTTTTGAGATCGATACCATCTGAATCATTTTTTTCATTTTTGGTACGTTTTATGTGATAAAAAATAAGACTTAGATTCATAATTGTGGTGCAGCATACGTTGTTAATCGTCTTTACTTTGAGAGAGTAGTATTGCGTCGTCTGCATAGCAGATTATTTTGTCTTCGTAGACTATGAAAAGGCATTTGACAGTATCAAGATGTCGACAATCGAACAAGATGTTAATAATTGTAGAAAGATTCGAGATATAGGCAACTAATACATAATATACATATATGAAAACGCTACTGTGATATTACAATTAGAAGAAAATACAAATCACATCACCATTAAGAAAGGAGTTCAACAAGGCGACGTAGTATCTCTAAAGATCTTTAATATAGCCGTAGAAGATGTCTTCAAAACTATAAATTAGTCAACATATGGCATCAGCATTAATTGCAACAAGTTAAACCACCTCAGAATCGCTGTTATCGTGATTATGAGCACATTAGAGGAATTACAAATTATGGTAGAGCAGTTCCCAATACGTCGGCTTAAGAATGCATATGACAAAAGCAAAAACAATGACAAACACAGACGACCTAGAATGTATAATAAATGGCAATGAGATAGAATAAGACCAAAAATATATCTACCTAGGCCAAATCCTGAGACTTAACAAAGAGAACCAAAGTGCTGAAATTACTAGAAGAGCCAGACTAGCATGGCCAGGATTTGGAAAACTTAGTTGGATACTTAAGAACCGTAAAATACCTCAATACTTGAGGAGCAAATTGTTCAACAAATGCATCCTTCCAATCATGACGTACGGATATCAACCCTGAACTCAATATGAGCAAACTAGCCAGAAGGCTTAGAGAGAATGGAAAGGCAATGTTAGGTATACCACTGTCAGATAGAAAGAGGAACGAATGGGTAAGATCAAAAACAGTCGATATCTCAACAAAAATTGCCAAACTCAAATGGAGACATTTGCTACACGCTACTGGACAAAAAAAATCAACATCGGAACGCCACAAGACAACATTGGTGACCTTACAAAGGAGATGACCAAGAGGAAGACCACAGATAAAAAAAATAGCTGGAACAAATTGGAAGTATGTTGCCTAGAGTAGAAATCGATGGAACGAATTGGGAGAGGCCTATATCCAAAAATGCAGGATTGCTGTCATTTCAAATTGTACATAGTCACCTAAGGCCACAAATGCGATTATCAGATGACCTGAAGAAACACGCCGGGTCAAAATTGATGCAAATTGCCCAAGATAGAGAGGCATGGAAGAAGGAGGAGGAGGCCTATATCCAAGGATGGATGTTAAGGGCTGTATAGATAGATAGATAGACATAGTCACCTAGATGTAGAAACATTAAGCTCGCATTGGATTTTACACAAATTAACTGAAGATCAAAAACAAGCTTGTGTCACATGTTGCAAAGAAATAGTTAAAGTTGAGGTCATCAAATTTGAACACGACATTTTAGTGGCATGAAAGTTGGATTTATGCATAACCTGGAAACTAAACAACAGTCAACGGTTTGAGTATTGAAACCAGGAAGCAAAACCAACAGAAATCAGCCACGTCATAGAGTTTTCGAGTTTTCAAGAAAATGAGAGCCCGTTTTGTGTCGAAAACTGAACATGTGGCTCCTATTTCATGAAAATATTGAGGAACTCTAAATGAGAAGTGGTATACAACAATTTTTTTACGAATAAGATTTCTCAGAAATGCGAAGTAAAAATAAAAATCATTTGACATCAGGACGATACAAGCTTCCATAAAGGATAACGAACTGGGAATCACAGAAAATCGATGTCACATTTTCTTTACAGTTCTGACTTCAGTTCTAATAATATTTACATTTCCAAAAGAATGAATTGCGTGTTCAACGCTTCAGCCCGACACGAAGTCATTGAAGTATTTAAAAACGGATTTTTGCTTATTTCATCTTCTGAAAAAACGTTTTGACAATTGGTTTACTCGCATGCAAAAGTGTAGAACGAACAGTGAATATTTATTCACCGTTGACGGTTGAATCTAAATATTTTTGTTTTTTATGTCCCAATATTAATCTGTGCGTGTGGCTATCATTACGGTAGTTACCGCTCATTTCTACCTACTACTGTAATATTACTTAAAGTTACTTTACTTCAGTCATCAAATTTAGACTTGTACTACTCAGCTTTAGAGGACCTAATCTCTTAATTCCTCCTTTTGGTACATTTTATGATCTTTTACTTCTAGGGGCTTATATTCAGTCATACATTTGAGATCTATTCTCCAAATACAGTCAGAGCATGTTGCATTCTATCTTTGACTCTTTGACTATGACAAGTGAGGCGACAAACCCTCCTCTTCTGACTCTGGCTTCCTGTGCATATTGTACGGCTCTTAAAGGTACATGTCTATCCACCTTCAGCTTGTGCCCTCTATTCTTCTCAGATGAATCTATATTTTTGTATCTTCGTATCGTTTGAAGTTTGGTAGTTAACCTTAATTTGTACATTGTTAACCTTGTTATTTAATGTTACAAACTGTCAACATTAAATTTTCAAATGTTGATTACATATATTAGTTTTTAGTAGATTTATTAGTGAACTCATTTTACGAACAATTGAAATATAAAATTACAAAACCAATTCATGAGACTATTATACATTTGAACGTCAAGCTTATAAGATGATCACAGTTACGCAACATTCGGCCACATGGAGAGAGTTTTTGAATTTTTGCTTTCCCCTCCCACCATCATCTTACAGTGAATATTTAAGCATGCGAATCTTTGATCTGTAAAGCATTAAAATAAGAACTTATAAATAAAAGTTTTAGCTATCTCGTCCATTTTAAAATAAGTCTGTAAATAATAATAACTTTAATAACTTAAAATAAATAATTAAAATTAATAATTACTTAAAAGTAATAAGTAATTAGAATTAAGATCCACAATAGAATTCAGCATACCAAATTTCATTATGTTATTTTTATCGATTACATATTAATTATAAAGAAATATGACTTTATTGTACATCTAACGAAAGATATTTGTATAATTGTTGCTTTTTGTTTATTAGAACATATTATTGATTTTGCTGTGAATTGTAATTTATTGTATTTCTCTAATGTAAATAAACTTTTTTTTTTGGAGCAGTGATATATTTTTGTATTTATTATATAATAATTTACATGTTACCAGATTACCTTTAGATTTTATTGATATAAATTCTAACAAACACATACACACTATATCAACTTCATCATCAGGGCGATACAGGTCCAACCCTTAAAGGACCTCGACCTTCTTAAGCTTTCTGCTCTGTCACTGCTTGTTTACTAATGTTTTTCTAAAAAAAGTGACATATTTTTTGACCACCGTGTATAAATATTTATGTTTATTTAACTAAATCGAGAATTGATTAACCTATCAATTTAACTAACCTACCACCCCTATTCTCGTTAAAAAATCATCGATTACGTCATTATAATCAGATGGATAACGTCACTAGTATGATATAATGCCAAAAAAAATCATAATTTTAACATAAAAATCCAATCCGGACGGTGTGTGCAAAGTCTCATATTCTCGAAAAAATGAATTAATTCGAGAATTTTTTCCTCATGGACAAAAATAACGAATATTTTGGAATTTTCTAATTTTTATTTTTGAAAATAAATTCTGGTCGATCAAATCGTTTATTGTGAATAAGTGTTTATTTTAACAATGTTTAATAAACAATTTTAAGTTTTTATCCGGAGAAAAATGCGAAAAAATAATGCTTAATGTTAGGTAAATGCAGTTATTTTACTCTAAGCTTAAATGCTAATTTAAATTGCTTAAATAC